AAATTAGAGCAAAATAAATTTTAATGACAGTTAATCAATGCAGTAATTACAGCTCAAGCTGAATGCCTTCAAAGAGAAACCCCAAACAAAGAAACCCCTGACAATTACACCCTTTGGTCCTGTCCTTGTCCCAAGGTCCTGAGGAGGAGGAGATAGTCCAGACCACAAGGAGTAACACTGTTCTGGGGTGAGAAACAGCTTTTGTCTCTCAAGGTCGGGACGGGAGGATCCTCACATCCAGGCAAGCCTTATCTCAAAGTCTTGACATCCTCCCTTTTGGGGTGTGAATCGCAGGGATGCAGACTGCTAATTACAGCCTGAGGTTAAGTCATTAACTCCATATAGTTCCAGGGACCTAAAGGAGGCTTGCCACAGAGAAATTCTCCTACATCAGCTACTTCATGGATCTACAGTTGTTTTCTGGCATTCACTGTTCGTAACATCCATGCTAGAGCACAACACGTCACCAAGGAAGCATGCCTTTTTAAAGCATGTCAGACACAACAAAGGCCAGGAGCCTATAGTGTATTTTTTAGGGACTTTGTCTTCCAAACAAACTCCAGAGCTCTGCATTAGACCCCTGAGCTCCCACAGAGCTCACAGGGAAAGACGAGCACCACAAAACAGGTCCTGAAATTTCCAGCATGTTTAGGGGCAACTCAGCACGAGTAATGCCAAGGGAGGGAGAGATCATGATGCGATGACACTTTCAGTAGGGCTACAGAAAGGCTGGATTCACAGCATCCTGGGGAGAGAAACCTTCTTGAAAAAATGTGACAGATTTTCCCTGTGCTTGACTTGTTGATTTCACCAAGGGGTAAAAGGAATTTAATCCAGATCTCTCATTCCCAGGGCAGTGGAGCTAGCCTGAAGAGCCTGAAGCTCATCTTTGCTAAGATCAAGTGGACAATTTGACTGAGGTCCCCGCTCATCAGGTAGCAGCAAATCCAGGCTGGATCTCCTGGGTGCTGCACTCCAGCGTCACAGCAGGGAGGATGCCTGGACCATTGCAGATGCTCCCTGGGGGGATGCTCAAAGGCAGTGGATCTCCTTGCAGGACTGCAGAGAACATCAGAAATCTGGAAAATCCGGAGCAAAAATAATTGCTGTCTGGGTTGGAGACCAACACATACATGGTACAGGTACCCACAGCCACCTTTTAAAATATAGTAATAGCTGGGTTTTTTTGGGAAGGATAATTCCGGGTGCTCCATTGGGTGCCTCTCCCCTGGCACAGCATTCCTTGCAGTCCTTCTGCACGATTCTGTGAAATAACAGGGTTTGCATCCATTAAGTTTCCTAGCTGACTAGTGTATCTGGGTTAAGGAAGACCACATGCTCTGTGGCAGCACTGTTGTGTTGTGCTTGATGATGAATGGGTGCAATTGTTTGGTTTAACAGATACTTTTATTAATCTAGTGTCTAGGAACAGCTTCCCGAGTCTCTGTTATAGACCTGCAGATAATTCTTGCATACCGGTTATGGGAGAGACTTGAACTCCCCTTATATCTACACTTAAGTTCCTTATGGGCACTCATACCTGCTATTAATAGTGTCATAATGACTAGTCTGAGTAGCTCGTGGCTTTGTTCTCCTTGAGCCAGCTGCACAAGGGAGCTGCAGCTAACTAGGCCAAGGGACAAGAAAGTCTGTCCGAGATGGTGCCAGCTAGAAGCCCTTACCTCTATCCCTCCATTGGCTTATGCAGGAAATGTTTCTTGTGCACAAACTTTTCTTCCCCATTTTTTTTTTCCTTGCAGGTGCAGTGATCCTCCCTGGAACAAGACTGTCAGCTTCCTCATTACCCCTGCTTGAGCTCCATCCAGCATGGTAGCTGAAATACACAACATTTGTGCCATATTTTGTATCACTGGGTAAACCCATACCTGAGGACCAGCTCAAGCAGTGCTCAAGCTGCAGGTGGATCTAATTTGGCCAACAGCATCTATGCTTAGAGGACACTGCAATTAAATAGGCTTGTGCCAAAGAAACTTCACTTGTAGCTATTTCTTTCCTAATAAAAGAACCTGAATAACTCATAAACTAATCACATCTTGTTGTTTAGTCCACGAACGCACTCAAACTTAGCCTGCATTGTAAACAGTATTGAGGTCATAAAAATCTATATATTTGGTTTGAATGATGACTGACAATGTGTTACGAGTGCATCTTAGTTTCATAGCCTTCTTTCAATAGTTACGTTCCATTGCTCAGTTTACTAAATGGCTTATAGTTAATTTGAAACCAACTGCAGCGAACTTTACAAAACAAATAAGAAAGGATGAACACAACGTTTCACTTCTATTTTTTTTCAGTGGAATTGTGTATGCTTTATTCCTTTCCTCTTTTGCTGAGACCTCAGTTCCAACCAGCAGCTCTTCCCAGTGCTGACACAGTCCTATTAACTCTTTATATTCACAGCCACCCCTTCTTCCACCTGCACTTGACACCCATCTTTCAACTGGAATGGAGTATCTAAGTGCTTCTAACCCTGACTACTGCAGCGCAGCACAGAGAAAAAGAGGAAACCAGGCAGTGTGAGAAACCATCCCCACGAAAAATAAACAGGAGAAAAACTGCCTTTCCCTGAATATTGCTGGTTCCAGGTTTTCAATCAAATGCTCATTTGTAGGAGCTGGAAATGGTTCTTCACATTTTGTTCTGTGAAGATGAAAGGGAAAACAGATAGGCCATCTGCCCCTTGGAACAGCAGAGAGAAAATTCGCTAGGGGGCTTGTCCTTTCATTGCCAAAGTCGTCGCATATAGAAGTGATCCAATTTCTTCCTTATTGGTAAAAGGTGGCCGCACTACAGTCGTTTATTTCTGGACCAACATCCTGAGCTACCTTTTCCTCATGGTATGAGCTGATTTTTTTTTTTTTTTTTAGACATGTAAATCAAACTCACTGCTGAAGTAGCAATCTGTATAGAAATGAATTTATGACACAAACAGCATACCCCTCACTGAGTAATGTGTGATTAATATTAACATGTTCTTGTTTTTAGTCAGCTGCAATGAAGGACTGGGAGCACCAGGACATGTTTTATACAGAGAAAAATACTGATTTCATGAAGCTAGGCTTTGTGTCAGTATGAATATAAGTTTTACTGATAGGCCTTTACAATGACAACACTTAGGAAATGAAGGTAGCTTTTTTGTTGTTATTAAACAGCTTAAATAGCATCTTCTTGAGCAACATGAACTTTATGTGTTTATGAACAATGCAAGATTCAGCGTATTTACTAAAAGTGAAATACTTCACCAGATAGTGCATTTCTTAGAGTTTTTAGCATTTGCTTTTCTTTCCATCTAAGCCTTCCTAGTTTTTGCCCATTGAGATTTATTTGTGCATGAGGCCTTTTTTTTTGATTTCAGAAAGAAAATATACTTTTAAGAGCTCACTTTGCCCAGAATTTGCATTCTACAGCTACAGGGTGGTTCATTCTCCCAAATAAAAAAAAATCATTCCCATGGAGTCATTAATTTGTAAATTCTAATAATCGCAGCTAAAGAAAGTTGGAAAGTGGGTAATAGATTTTGTATGTGCTTTCCTCTTTCCCTTGCCCTTTGCTGTAACTTAGGCCCTTCTCCTCAAGACTTATATTAGAAATTTCTGCATTGTTTTAGTTTTCCTAAACCAAAGATTTGCACTCAGAAGCAACAGATCCTAGAGTTTGACCATTATTTTTCCTGTTAAATTAAATATACTGTGAAAATGCTGTGCACTCTGATCGGAACTATATAAACAGAGGCATTCGTAGAATGGATAGATTTCTTAAAATGTAATGTAGCTGAGATGGAACAAATGAAATTGCCCCAACGGTGGCAGTATAACATAAGAAATAAGAATCCTACCTAAAATACAAAAGGATGAAAGGTTTCCTCTTCAGTAACATTTTTAGGCTGAGTCATCACCACTGAAGAAGTATCCTCCTTCTTCTGTGCAGGGAGAGGCTGTTGGTAAAATCATAGCACAATCCTTACCTTGCTTAAAATAAATAAATAAATAAATAAAATAATAACATTTTACTTTTTACTCTCAGGTAACTGGACAAGGTCAGTGCTTTGCACCAGGTTGATCTTGCCTAATTGCCATGCAGTTCTGGTCCTCAGCTAGTGCCTCAGAGCAGGACAGACATTAGGTATCAGGTACCAGGCATTAGGTATCTCACGTTACGAACGTATTTCCTTAACTGAGGGCAAACATAACGTGTCTTTACCAGGGACCCCAGTGGGGATTACTGCAGAAGAATAAAAACAGAACTATCTGGCTATAAAACAGCTACCTCAAACAACTAAGATATTTTCTAATCAGAAGAAAACTAGACACCCTTTCGCCTTCCCCCAAATTCTCTTGGGCTTAGTGGAGGTTTTGCATGATCTGTCATTTTGCACCTTTTCTATTTCTCCTGACCCCCTGAAGCAAGACCTGCATCTTCTTCTGCTCCTCCAAAGCCCAATATAACACACCCCAGAGCCCAGTGGAGACCTGGCAATTTAAATGAAAAGATACTAAAGATCCACAAGGGTAAAACAACATTATCATTTGTGAAGCCAGTTCATTCTCATAAGGAAAGGAGAGCAAGAAGAAAAACAAATCTCTCTCTTAGTCACACTGGTCAAAGGCAAAGATTTGCCTGTCCTGGTGAAGCCTTGTAAAAGAAATAAACATTCTATTGCAAAAGCTGGGAAAGGTCTTAAAGAGAAATATGTGGCAGAGAGTTACCTATCAGTGGTTAAAAGGGCTTCAGCAGG